ACGCCTCGGAATGGGCTCGCGGAGCTATTGTTGAAAGCTGATTGATTTTCTGACACATATGAGGCCCGAAGGGGAACCAAGGGTATAGAACCCCATAAAATTGTATGCTCTTTCATTCTAGATACCTTTCGAGAAGATCTGAAATGCAGCCGATCTTCGTTCTTATTGCACCCCGTCCTTTTCAAGAAAAAGCGTCAAAAAAATTTGAGGGTTTATTGTCTTTTTAAAAGTTTGCTACTATTTTTTCCTGAGTTTACACACAAAATTGAATATAAAAAGCAATTCAGATACTTTTAGAACCTGATTGGCCGACTGCAATCGCTGAAGACCTGACAGAACGGCTGGAACCCCACCCGAACTTCTTGTAAGCCTGTCTAGTTTTTTGGTTAGCAGTTAGGCAAGTTTTTTTTTCTTTATTTAAGTCATCACACTTGTAGGAAAAAGAGTTGGTATCGGTTTTGGAAAATATTCTTCCGTTGCTGAGAAAATTAATTTTCTTGAAACAGGTGGCAAAACACAAGAAAATTCACTTGTATTTTGCAGTTTTCACCGTCAGCTTATCATTTTTTGCAAAACCAATGTCGTATTTGGAATCAGCATCAAAAGCTGACTTCGTGAATTTATGTCTCAAGATTTTGGGGTAACTTTCATTTTTTTGTGAGTAAATTTCTGCACCGGACTGCGGACGGGTAGTACGTCTTGACTAGTGTCAAGACTATACGTCCGGACGTATGAATAAACTTCTGCACCGGACTACTGACAGGTGGTATGTCATGCTCGACTTTTGGACATCCCGTCCTGTCTACTCCTCTGGTTTAGCATCCGGTCGTACGTCAAGACTTGTAGTCCTGACACTTTTAGAAATAATTTTCAAATACGGACTAGTCTGGACGGGTTACTCGGACACTTCGGACTAGTCCGGACGCCGGCCAACCAGGTTTTTTGGCTCACTTGGGAAATCTGTATCTAAGATCTGAGTACAGATCTTGGTACAAGATAACCACATTATCTTGTGCTTAAATTTTGAAGATCTGTTAACATTTCTGTACTCAAGATCTTGGTCAAATCTTGCTTACAAGATGTTCCACTAGGGTAATCATCACAGAATATTCTCTCTCTTTTTTTGCATGCTGTGGAATGAAAATAAACACAGTCACATGGATAGAAACACTACTAAAGTTAGTTAGAATTAAAAGAAAAAGAAAATTATACCAGAGCAAAATAGACGACGACAAAGAAATAGATGTTCTTTTTTCACAATAGACTAAACAAAAAAAGCTTGCTTGTTCTATGGAAATAGACGGAAAGTGAAGAATAGTCTCATTGAAATGAGTTTGTGCGGGATGGGTTTGCTCTTTTAACCACCACCCCTAGTATCAGGTTTGACGCCAATATAAAGTTGGACTAGTTTATCGAAAGCAGGTAAGAGACCAGCACTAGGGATAATTCTGAAAATAACGACACCAAATCCTTTAAATAGGGCTATTGTACCTTCGTTTCGTATGATTTGGAACATGCAATCCATTGCACCTTTATATTTAACTGCTTGACCTGATGTCATCATCATACGTCGTTGAATAGTATCAAGTGGATATGAAATAAGACCTGATGTAAGTGTGACACCATAACCAAGTAAATAAGAAAGCTTTAAACCGGAATCAGGTCCAAGTATAATTGGTTTTAATGTGTCATAAAGTCCGAAGTAACAACCACGATAGATAAAGATACCAACACATGAAATACCAAAACCACGGTAAAGACCGACAATACCATCGGTAGCCAAAGTTTTTCTGTAGACATCAACAAGACCATTGTATTTACGTTCACCACCTCCTTTCATTGTACTTTTAACATCATTAGCTAAACGTGTACGCGCATACTCAAGTGAATACACAAAACATAATGATAAAGCACCAGCTACACCACCACTTGCTACGTTTTTGGAAAAATTAACCATATAGGAATGGTTTTTATTCTGTATAAACATTGCTTTGATGTTATCTTTGAAGGCAAAATTCAAAACCTAGCAAAAATGGTCAGCAGTTTATTTTATTTTTCTAGATTAATTATAAATTAAAACTAACCTGGGTGGGAAAGTATTTAATACAACTGGCCAAATTACCTCGCCAAAATGAGATAAGACCTTCATTTCTGAAGATTTGCATGGTACAATCAATAGCACCACTGTAGGGTCGGCTGATTGTACCTTGTTTAAGCATTTCACCTTGGTTTTGAAGAAGTAATTTTACACGGTCAATAGGTGCAAGTGCTGTTTTTCCTGCACAAGCACCAATACCGCCACCAACAAGACTGAGGAGAAAGGTTTCAGTCGAACTAAGTTTACTCGGCGCTTTTTCTTTCTAAACAAATATTTCATGTTACATTATGATCACATATACACATATACAAATAATCTGTTAAAACATGATTTACTTACCTCCACTGCCATTACACTTTATTATGATGTCGATCTAAAAAAGACTATTTGAACCATATCAACTGGATCAAAATTTTTGATTTCATGTTCACCTAATAAAAAATATATCATTGGAAAGAGTGTCAAAAATTGAGGGTGGTAATTTGATTTTCACAGAGACGTACTCTCAAGTCCCCAGCAAAAATTTTTAAAAACATTTTCCAGCCAAAATAGCTGGGTATATCGTTCTCTCTCTTTCCTTCTCCTTGAGTGATGTTATTTTTTCTTTCGTTCTGTATATATGTATATATGCTTATCCATATATGATGTGTACAGAAAGGTAAAAAGCAGTACACGTCTCTTTCAGTATATGCATATGTGCCAAGAAAGAGAGTGTTTAGTGTTTTGTTGTTGTAAATTTCACCAGAATCCAAGAAATCGATTTGGAGAAATTTTCTACTCTAAAAGGAAAAGTGAATTTTTCTCTAGCCGGAAATAGTTAGAAAATAATGTTTGAAATGTTGTATCATTTATTTCTTATGTTAAGTCATTTTTGTAGATTTTCTTCTTGACTGTGAGACGAATCTTATTTTGTCTGAAAGATTTTCAGCCGTTGATTCTTAATGAAGCATTGAATAATGTTGATACTTTGATTACAATCAGACATTTAAATTTTGGAAACTATGAAAGTTATGATTAGTCTGAAATAGATGTTCTTGAGAAGGAACACTGCTCTGAATTTATTTTTATATTTTAAGTCTAATAGGGAATTCTTTGAAATACTTTTCATAGAAATACAAAATATTTTGCAAGTCGCATTTCATATCGTTACTGATTTTTATCATAATATATATGTAGACAAACATACATGTAAGTGTTTGCACATAGGGAAGAGTAGAGAAGGAAACATTGGTTGACTGTCCTGTAATCAAAAACCATTTATTGATCTTCTGATCTTTAGAAAAAAATTGAACAGTTTTGAAAAGTTTTCACCAAAAAATAAATGATTCTTCAGATAAAATGTTCGATATCTGCATATAGGTTTAGTTTTGATTTCGAATAGAATCTCGGAATTCAAATTGTTAGATTAATAATTAAGTTTTACTTCGTTTATAAAGTCTAAATCAGTGAGTACTTACGTAGACTCAACCTTAGTTTTATTTTGAACTTCTTTGTATCATCAAAATAGGTATGTGACAGTTCAAGTTCAATAGTTCGTGAGACCTGAATCGAAGTGCTGGGTTACCAGTTCAAGCTCACTTGAACTGAAGTTGATGACCAGCTCAAGGCATGTGAACTTGAAGTGGTACTGAATATTATTTCTAAACAATTTCCGACACCAGTTCAAGTATAAACTGAACTGGTCTCCAGCTCAAGTTCATATACCTTGAACTGCTCACCAACTACAGTCGAAATGAAGCTGAACTATCCGAATAGTTCCAGTTCCACGAGCTGAGATGGAACTGTCATATACCTACATCAGAAAAAAAAAACTACACCAGTGCTCAAACGTCCATAATAAATACTCTTTCATTACTCTGGTAACAATAAACTCGTTTATATACTACTCGATTCACTGATTTACTATCAAATGTTCAATTAATAAAATTAAAGTCAGACGCGTCTCACACAAGAACTATTTTCTGCTAGAGTTCGCTCAACTTTTTGTATTGCTTTATTACTTTTCCAACTTTGCACTTTTGCTCATAAATGAAAGCCAGATCAAAAAACATCAAATACTCAGACTAGTCTATAATATTTCTCGTGCAAATATTAACTATATTTTCCCTTGTATGTAATTTTTTTGTTCACTAATTAAATTAACAAGTTAGTGCACATACTACGGCTGAAAATAAGAATTTTTCTTAATTGAAGAAACAAATTTTCTCGTATTTCTCGTTCTAAAGATGGTTTGAATCAATCTCTTTCTTGGCACATATGCATATATTGAAAGAGACGTGTACTGCTTTTTTTCTTTCTGTACACATCATATATGTATAAGCATATATACATATATACAGAACGAAAGAAAAAATACATCACTCAAGGAGAAGGAAAGAGAGAGAACGATATACCCAGCTATTTTGGCTGAAAAATGTTTTTTAAAATTTTTGCTGGGGACTTGAGAGTACGTCGCTGTGAAAATCAAATTACCACCCTCAATTTTTGACGCTCTTTCCAATGATATATTTTTTATTAGGTGAACATTTTGATCCAGTTGATATGCTTTAGACTTGTTTATGTATATATTACGTTTGCGACGTTATGATAGAAAATCCTTGTCTTTTTTGTTTGTACCTGGTGTTCTCTTTTGTGTCCTTCTAGGCGGTTTCACGTTTGTAAAGCACAAGAAAGTGTCGAATCCGACGAAAGCACACACACATACAAGATGGCCACTGGGGAAAAACCTCCATCAATATGTTTTATCTCCGACTCAGAAATAATTTCACTGAGGTAATAATAATCGATCGTAGTTGAAGCTGAAGGCCGAAGCAAGCTAAAAAAGGCTGTGATTGGTCGTTAAGAATATTCAGCGAGCGAATAAATAATCGTCCATAGTTTATTCATAAGTGACTGAGCTATAAAAATTCTACATCGTTCAATTTTTCAGAAAATAAATATTATTTAAAAATTTTCTAAAATCATCAAAAGTTTCGGATGCAAAAATCACTTAATAATAATTACTATTATTCTGAAAATGTGTAAAATAAGTTGCTTTGCATGTATGACGATGATGGCTAATGCTACGAGATAAACTCTATGTGAACTTTACGTACACGTAATATCATATAATTATTTCTTACAACCTAATGACACATCGATCAAGTGTTAAACTGAGTATTGTGAAATCTCAATTATGTATTATAATACAATATAAAAATATACACTTTTGATTTTTCCCTCTTTGGATAACTCGACTCATCCTCTTATGACAAGTCGATTTGTCCTCTGGATAAGTTTCGTTGATCAAATGTGCACATTCTATTTCAGTATCTTTAAAGGGCATGATTGATGCAACTAACTATTTCAAGTTTTTTGTGTTACAGCTAGTAAATTATTACTGTACTTGCTGTTGTGATTGTCCAGTATCTGTTCGATTTGTGTACAACGTTTTTTTCATTTCTGTCATAGAGCAAAACAGGGTAGCGCAAAAGTATGAGAATTTTGAAGAGAGATAGACTTTTAGCGTACACTAATTCTTTACGGTTTCGTTTGCACTTATCTAGAAGTTTTTCCGGAAGAAGAGAACACGAAGAATTACTGGTTCAATATCATTTGATTTAAGCTTTATTTAAATAAGAAAAAGTAAAAAGTAAACAGTAAACAAAAATCGTTATCATTCTAACGTAGAAGCGGCTGTAGCCATTATATCACTGTTAGAAATGATCAAAGTCGTAAAACATAGCACAACATTCGAGTTAAAAAAGAAAAGAGTAAACATATGTGAGAAGTGAGAGGAAGAAAAGTAAAAAATGTAAAGTAGACTCGGTAGCACAAGTATGTTTGTTTTCCTCGCTTAATTATTCCAAAGACCCTCAAAGCATTGAGAATCGATAATATATTCAATCACAGATTTAGCAACAAGTAAATACGTACCTTTATCAAGCGATGCATTCAAGTATAATAGATCCATACAATCCAATATCATTTATATCTGGTCGTCTCCATCGCCGTCGGTTTCCTATTCTTCTTTATCATCGTCTTCGTCTTCGCCATCGTTGTCTTCTTCTTGATCTGCTTCATCATCGAGAGGAGGATTCCATCGAAGATTTATTCCTGGACAGCGTTTAGCAAAACGCTTTCCAAATTTCTTATCTTCAGCATGTATTTCATCGGATCCCTGAAACGTGTTATCATTATATATAGTGACTGTGCGTAAATATTTTAATTGTAAAAGTTCTTTATCACCGCCATTCTTAAATGAATAATTGGGTATATTATCACCAATTTCATAATAATTAAAGGCTAACTCAGTTAGCTTTGGAAATACGATAAACAATTTTCTCAAATCATCACAATGTCCACCATACGATAATCTTTTAATACTTGATAAGTATAGATCCGCTGAAAAATTAAGAAAGATCCGTAGTTATAAGCATAGTTTCCGTCTCATGTCAAATTCAACTGTTTAATGTATAGATGAATTCTGCATGGAATTCTGAGCAAAACTGTCGTCTCAGAATTTTGGTTAACTCTTACAATGCCTAGCGGAAAAGGCAAAAAAGTGTACTAATTGAGTATATCGATGATCCTTTTTTCGATGAGAACTCCAAATATAGTAAAATTTTTGAAAAAAGATGGGAGCCAGTGCACCTATGCATATTTTTTCAAAACACGTGATCAACTTGACAAAAAATGTGAGTCTATAAAAACTGTTTTTACTCTTCTTTATCTGACTGTTTTTTTCTGGAGTGTAAGTCAGCTTTACGAGGGGAGTCTGGTGGTGTTTATATCAGACTATAACAAGCACTTTTATTATGTATGAGGGATCGGCTTCATGAAATCGAAGATATTTCTTTGAATTCTCAAAAATTGTTTTCGAAACAGTACGATGTATGATATATCATTAGATTCAGAATTCAATGCTGGGTCAGAATCTGACATTGTTTTAATCTGTAGGCTTATGTCTTTGAAGAAAATCTTAGAAAACTGGTCAACATCAATAGAAATAAAATCGGTTTTTCATATCTACAGAATAAAAGCACTTGTTATAGACTGATATAGCCACCACCAGCTTCCACTCCTATAGTAAGCTTACCCTTCAGAAAAGACAGTCAGATAAGTAAGAGCGAAATAAGTTTTTATAGACTAGATACATTGTAACTACTATCCATTTCAAAAAAGAAGAAGCACGGCCATTTCTTTGATAACTTTTTCTAAGAAGCAGCTAAAAAGGTGCGGTTTTCAGTATCGGAAAGCGAAATGTTGGGGTAATATGAAAAACTAA